CCCCTAGACCCCTAAACCCCTAACCCCTAACCCCTAACCCCTAAACCCTAACCCCTAACCCCTAACCCCTAACCCCTAAACCCTAACCCCTAACCTCTAACCCCTAAACCCTAAACCCGAAACCCTAAACCCCAAGCCCCAAGCCTAAACCCCAAGCCCCAAGCCCCAAGCCCCAAACCCTAAACCCCAAGCCCCAAGCCCGAAACCCCAAGCCCCAAGCCCCAAGCCCCAAGCCCTAAGCCCCAAGCCCTAAGCCCCAAGCTTTAAGCCCCAAGCCCTAAACCCCTAAAGCCCTAACCCCTAAGCCCTAAGCCCTAAGCCCTCCTGAACCCCCAACCCCCAACCCCCTGAACCCCCAACCCCCAACCCTGTACCCTGAACCTTCAACCACTAATCACTAACCCCCTAAACCCTAACCCCTAAACATAAACCCTAAACCCTAAACCCCCAACCCCCAACCCCCTGAACCCTGAACCCTGAACCCTCAACCCCTGAACCCTCAACCCCTAATCCCTAACCCCCTAACCCCTAACCCCCTAAACCCTAACTATGACGAATCGGAGCAAAAGTCTCGATCCTGAAAAGAAGAACAAACAGGATAGGAATCAGAAAAATGATCCTAACTATGACGAATTCCCAGAAGTGGAGTTTGATTGTAATGTAATTAGTGGAGCCTTGGGGGGAGGAGGCGATACTGTAAGTGCTAGAAGAAAATACCTTAAAGAGTTCATCTCTTAATTATTTCTCAGCTTTAAGCTTGAGGATTGGATTTTCAAATTCATTAACTTGTTTGTTTTCTTTTTCTTTTTCTTTTTCTTTTTTTATTTAATTTGTTTTCTTTTCGTTCAGAGAGGAATAATTGTATTTTATTTAATGGATAATAATACCTTTTGAAAAGCAATATAAATAATCACTCGTAAATAAGCAATGCTCGTTGGCAAATTTCTTCAATAACTTTGAATATGTATATATGCAACTTAATAGTTATCTGAAAATTTCTTCTTAACATCATATACTCATTAAAGAACTTCATTTGTAATTATTAGTCACTCGATAAGAATAACTAAAATAGTATCAATTTAAAAAATTTATTTATAAGGATATTTTTGCCTATTAAGTAAAAAGAAGATATTATACTTACTACTCTTATTACTAAACTAATCACCGTTGATTTTCGCCAATCTGAAGGTTATAATTTATTGGATACACTTATTAATTAATTATTAATTTTTAATAAATTATAACTGTTAGATTAACGAAAATCAATGATGATTAATTTAATAGTAAGAGTTGTAAAAAATTTCAGTAGTAAATATAACCGCCCTCTAAATAAAATCTAACGATTTTAATCTCAAAATATCTTTTTTGAATAGTTTGAACATTTTTATTTTGATAACTTAAACTTTGTTAAACTTAGCAAAATATATATATATATATATATATATATATATATATAGAGAGAGAGAGAGAGAGAAACATTTCTCAAGCATCTTGAGATAAGTTTATCTCCGGCTACCCCAAAACTACGTCGTTTTATTTATTTATTTCCTTATATTAATTGATTCACCTTTGAATGGTTATGATTCTTTTTCTCTCTCTCTTCCTTTATCACCATTGATCGATCTTTGTACGGTTATGATTTAGTAGCCGGAGATAAAATTATCTCAAGCAGCTTGAGAAACGATAAGCCCATATATGTATATGTATATATATATATGTGTGTGTGTGTGTGTGTGTAGGGATTTATTAATCTCCTTTAATAAAAGATAGCTTGCATCATGCCATAGAAATAAATTATGTGGGTCCCATTGTTTTTTAAAAATAAAAAAATTATTTTAAGTTTAATTCTGAACTTTTAAAATGCAAATATTCTTTGTGGACAAAACTCATAATAGGAAAAAAAAATTATGAATTAATTGTAAAACAAAAATAAAGCAAGACTCGTACATCATTAGGCTTATAAAAATTTTACAATCATATTCAATAATGTTTACTATATCAATTAATGATTTTAATATCTCATGTTAGATGGAGAAGAAGAAAGAGTTTGGCAACAGAATTTCATTCATCAGAGGCAAAGTAAGAAGAAAATAATGGTGATCTGGTGGATTGGAGGGAAAGAAGAGACAAACTGAAATAGACTTGGACATGATCTCCGGTCAGAAATGAACGTCAAAATTGAAGGAAGAGAGTGATCGAAACGTCATATCTCTGAAGCTTTGCCTGATGAAAATTGGTACACGGAATTATAACATGTTCGGAAAAGATTATTTATTTCGTTAAGCTCTCTAAGAAACTCAATAATAATAATAATAATAATAACAATAATTTATTAAAATAAGATAATTCACTTAAACCCCACACTTCATTAGCATGCACCATCCCCTATTGTTTTACTTCAACAACCTATGAATACTTCATTTTCTGTCTTCCTTTTCATTCTTTTATAAACGAATAGTTTGTCCTCTTAGACATCAATTATGACAAGAATTAAAAAAATAAGCACATTTAAGACACTGTAAGCTGTAAAGGAAGAGGGAAAGCTACCATAATAGCCTGACTCCCAGCTAAAAATTGTCATTAACGGTGACATAAATTACATAATAAAGAAGGGTGGCGAAAGGAAATAAAAAAATAGATAACATTGGTAACCGAATCTAGCTAAGCAATGCGGGTGGGGTGGAGCAAAAAGTGAGGAAGATGATGCTCCAAAACGACCACTAGTTCTCTACCGTGAGTCACTTCATCAAAGACCCTATCCCCAAGCCTTCTTGCGGCTTCAACCAGTTGTCCCCTAAGCCGTTGTGAAAACAAGCAGCCACTTGTCCTCACACACTCTCTATAGAGGGGAAGGTAAGCAATTGCCAAAGTCAGTGGGAATGGAAGATCTCTTAAGCAAATAGGAGACTCACCCCATTTAATGATTCTCGCAAGGTTCATGTAATGCTCTTGCCCTAACCTTAATCCCTCCATGTAAGCTCCTTCTGACCAATGCTCCTTAAGAAAAGTCTTTAGCTCAGGAGCAACAGCCTCATCCTCTGATTTAGCAATAATATCTGCAACAGCATAAGTAGCTGCAGGATCACCCAAGAAGTCAGATTGGAGGAGAAATGCTACACCATCAAGAGATCCACCACTGCGTTCACCAGCAGCCTTGAGAATTTCTACACTAAGCGCTGCAAGGACCTGCTGAGGTACATGTGGAAGAAGATAAGCAGCGATGTGAACTTGGCAGCTAGAAGTAGCTGCTGTAAGGGCAAGGCAGAGCTCCATGTCTCGGCAACCCCTCTGCACAAACCACTCAACAACTTGCATGCAGCCCCTCTCAGCAGCTCTCATCAAAGGGCCCAAAAAGGCTATGGCATTTCCCTCTTCCACCAAGCACTCCATAGTGCCTATCTTGCAGTAATGGGAGGCAAAGCCCAGTGCCAAGTCAACATCAACATCCAAGCTGTTCCTTTGCGCAATCTGCATAGTTTGATTTCCAGCATGCCACACAAAGATGTAACAGAAAAATTTCAGCAGGCTTTACATTATAAAAGCACCCAAAATCAGCAACTTACCCCCACACTTCACGTGTATATATAAATGGGGGTGGTAGTGCCAAAACCTCTCACCTCCAAATTCTTCCAACATATGCAATAGAAAGGCTACCCACTAATAAAAGAATGTTAATACTAAAGACAACAATATATCTACACGATCCTTTGATATGACATTCAATAATAGCCAAACTGCAATTAAATGCACCGGCATTTTAATAAGTTTGCCTTCAGCCACCATGAAAAAGAGCTGCTTTAACTAAACATAACAAAAGGAGTTGGCTAATGCCACTAAAAGGACTGGAGAAGCATTAATTGATAGATTGAGAAAGAAAAGAAGGAAAAGAAAAAGATCAAAGTCAGATCACCTGCAATAGTATACGCACAAGTTCTGTACTGCCAAAACGTGAAGCCTCCAAGAAACATTGATTGACATTGTCTGCACCCCCTTCTACCAACATGCCCAGCAGCCCTTGAATCACAGTAGCTGACATGCCAAAAGCCCAACCTGGATCAAATGAGCTTGAGAAAAGAGTAAGAGGAAAGCAAGCCGCATCAAAGGCTTCACTGAAGTCCTTCCCTGTAAGACGGTTGCCAGCAAGATCAAGGAATGTCTTAAAGGCAGATAACCGCAGCTGGATCTCAACAGCTGAGCTGTGTATCACATTGTCCCTATCATCCTGGAATCGCGAATGGATGCCTATACATTTCAGAGCCCATTCAGTAAACTTTTGAACCTTAGCGCCTGCTTCTGCCTTTAAGACTTCATCTCCATTGCATTCCTGGAGACGCTCATGCAACCTAGCAAAAAGTAGAGTTCACACATAAACTGCAATTACAATAGCAGTAGAAATTTCAACAGAAACACAGAAAATAACATGTTTCCAGTTTCAACATAATCCAAACCCTTCTACCATATGACATAAAACTTGCAAGAAAACATAAAAAGGCACATTCTTAGATCACCAAGTTGCAGACCAGGTGATAGAGAAGCTAACAGCTCAGAACTACAAGCAAATCTTGCCAGTTTGGTATTGCATGAATAACAAAGAATAAGGGATAAGTCGTATAACATTTAAAGTATGTCTTAATCCTAACCATTCATCCAATAACCAACGGGTAGGATATGCTCATCTCATTCTAACAAGAAAAATGTTCTCTAACACCCACCCCCAAAAAAAGAAACACAATCTCTTCCAGACCAATTAATTTATTGGTGGCTGAACACTTACCAAAACATTTACAAAAAATACAACAGATATCACCGAGTAGTACCTTTGGGCCATAACAGTAACTGTATCAGCAAGACTCATTGTTCTGCTCTGGCAAGCAGAGACACAAGAAGCAAGGAATGAAGTCCTTAGAGCAGCTCTTGTGAAGTCATAAGCACCATTAGCAATGATCTTCCTGATAAATCCTGTTATCCCATTAAGCTCTAGCTCTGTGCTCAAGAACCAGATGGAATCCAGTGTAATACACAAGGCATCATTAAGTGTTTGTGGATCAGCAACCAAAATCAAACTTTCTGCAAGTTCCCAGTCATGGGAACTCACTGCACCCTGAAACAACCTACCCAACTCAATCCTGTCTTGTCTACATAATTTCTTCTCCAACCCAATTTTCTCATTGCTTCCAAGCTCACAAGCTATTGTAAGTGCTCCGGATTTCAGCTTCTTGGCATTGCAACAATAATGAGAGGACATTGTTGATTCTTTCCTCATAAGTGGTGCTTCTCTTGAGAAAACTACATTGCTACCTTCTCCTTTCTCTGATGCAAAATCTTGATTTTCATTTCTTTGGAATTCCATTTTGTTACCTTCAGATTTAATTTCCATAAACATGGGATTTTCCAGTTCAGTTTCATCCATCACACATTACTCCCCTAGATAGATATCATGTCCTCTTCTATCTCGCCTCTGCCCTCTTTATCACGCCAGATGAAGCTAACAGCCATTCTTCGGAGAAGAAGAGAGAGAAAACATGCTGAATAGGAGAACTCTAGCTTCTGACTTTCAAATTCATAGGAAGCAAGTACTAAATACAAAAGTGGAATTAATAAACCCCTCGTTTTCTAGTACAATTTTGGACTTCGTCAAAAAATGCTCAAAACAGCCCTCAAGTCTCAATGAAAATGAAAGAAACAGTAGTTCCGTCTAGAAGTAAACCCAAAAGCCATCCGAAAACTCGCTTACAAAATTAGAAACCCTAAACAAGGGAGTAAATGTCGAGTAATGGAAATAAAATTTTGGCTTGCACTGTTTCTTTTCTGCCAATCCAAATATACATATGCTTAAATAAGAACATATTATAAAGCATTAGAAGAATCCGAATCTTCCGATCTTGGCCATCGACAAATAAGTCAAAACATTAACGTCAAACCCACAGTTGTCGAACAAATAAACCCTAAATGGAATACAAATGAAGCACAGCTATAAGAGAGGATCAGTGGCTAATCTCAAGATACCAATAACATATTGATCAGAATTACACTAACAATTTCAAAAAACAACAGCTGTGACAACGAATTAGAATCTGTTTGGAAAGGAAAATAAAAAAGCCCGGAAAGAATAAATATATCAGAAAAAGCAAAACCTGATTACAAGAAAGAGATGAACAGATAGAAAACCTGATTACTTGAAAGACGAATGGAGAGGGTGGAAGAAAATCCACAGCCTGACCCCTTTTATGCTCCTCGAGATTTTCATTTCAGACCCATATATAGATGTATTATATCCTATTTTAAACTTCCGTTTATTATTCCGCGAGTTCTGTTTTTTTTTTATTTAAATTCATCGATCCAAATCGAAATTTAAATTATGGTGACCGAATCAAAAATTAATAATTAAATTAATTAAAAATTAGAAAACCAAAAACTAAAATAAAAAATCATATATTGTAATTGAGTTGGATCGATTTTCGCTTTTATTAATGAAAACTAATCCAATATATTATATTATTTATTATTTTTGAAAAATATTAAATCTTGTTGTTTAATAGCCTTAAAATATTGGATGTTATTGATGGCAAGCTATCTTGCTTTAATTTTAATTTTTTATTATCTATTAATTTATTTTAACTAGTGTTGTTAAACCCGACCCGGGCATCGACCCAGTCGGGGTACTGGGTCACTGGTCGAACTGGTGGGTCACTGGTCGGACCAGTTGACCCGGATATATATAAACATATAAAGATATATATAAATATGAACATATAAATTCAAATATATTCTCCATATCTAAAATGAATTAAACAAAGTTCACTAAATAAGCTAAAAAACATGAAGCATAAATAAATAAAAGTGCATGTTATTACTATGTCAATTTAAATTGCAACTCAGAATCCCCATAAACATACCTCTCAATGACATTGAACTCATAGTTTTTAAATTCAACTACATTAAAATAACATATGTCACATTCTCTGATTTATTATTCCACAAATTACTTCAGTATTGGAAACTAAGAGGTCATTGTAGAAGAGTATACTAGCAAATAAAATTACAAAAAGTTTTTAAAATGAGTTTTACATTTTTTTGATAAAATGAAACAATTTTGGTTTTTTTTTTAAATGCATGACCCGACCGGGTCACTGGGTCGCCGAGTCACCGAGTTTGGCCGGGTTTTGATCGGGTTTGACTGGGTCGATGCATGACAGGTCCAACGCTTGACCCGAACCGGTCTGGTGACCGAGTCAACGAGTTCCGGGTCGGGCCGGGTTTTACAACACTGATTTTAACTCTTCATGAGTTTTAAGACTTATTTTAATTTAAAGATTTGAATTTTCTTGTGATTCATAACTTTGAATAACTTTATTTTGATATAATTCATAATTTGTACAACTAAAATTTTAGATTTTTCAAAAAAGAGAAAATCGATCCAATCAAACCGAATAAAATAGGATTGAATTGGATCGTATTTTTTGTATCTTTCTCTCATTTAAAATGACACAACTATATGTCCTTTAAAAGGATAAATATTTTTCCCATAAATGAAACGAGTAATTCTCTCTCCAAAAAAAATATATTATTTTTAAGGGTTTAGTGTTTATCCTTCTAAAGAACATGAAGTTGTGTCATTTTAAATGAGAGAAAGATACAAACAATGAAAATCAAATGAGAGAAAGTGAGCATTTTTTTAATTTAAATTTTAAATAAAAAATATTATGTTGTATCTTTCTCTCTCTTAAAATGAAACGACTAACATTTTATGTTATAAACAATTGGCTAAAATGCAAACCCCCTTGAACTTTGGTCATGTTTTAAATTACTACCTTAAACTTTCAATTGTTTCAATTAACCACCTTGTACTTTGTTACATTAACAAATTAGCATATCTGTTAAAATGTGACTAACAGTGTTAATCTTAAATCCCTAATTTTATTCCCTTCCCTTATTTGCATTCCATACTCTTGTGTAGAGTTTTTCTACTTCTCTTCTACATTCAAATTCTAGTTAGGAGTTTTAAGGGAACCTTGGAAGTTTGAATTGCTGCGTTGTTTGTGTTTTTCAAAACTTTTAGGTAGTTCTTTACAATTTCTCAATAGACTCAAAAACAAATCTTTGTTGTATGATTTTCTTTTCCGCTGCTTTCTTGCTGGAGGGGGAGGAGGAGCACCCCTTGATTGAGAGAGGGATATTGGATCATAATGAGAATTCAGCAAGTAATTGCCATTCACTGTCTGAGATTTTCTTCCCGTTGAAGAGGTGTTTCCTTGAGAATTTACAGACCCAGGAATCTATTGATTTCTATGAGAAGAAGTTGTTCCTGTTGTATTTCCCACTGACTGGAATGATCCAATTGTCTGTCTCCGAGTAACTCCTAGAATGTGTTATAGAGTTTTGGTGAGGTGTAGCCTTCATACCACTCAAACTTTGATGCTCAAAACAAAGAAATTGAGTTTTCCAAAGGAAAACCAAAGGAGATTTGCATAAGGGTTTAAGAAATCAGAAGTTGAAGCTTAACTTAAGTAACATTTTGTGTTCAATTACTCTTCTTCTTGTATCCTAATATATCAGTATCTATTATAGCGCATTTTTTCTTTCGTCTACAACAGTGGTTAAGAATTCAGATATGTGCCATGTATATGAGTGCAAGTTCTCCTTATGAGCTAAATCTGTCCAATTGTTAAAAAAATAAAAAATTTAACACCATTAGACAAGATTTTAACAAATGTGTTAATTCTCTATCATCATAAACTATGAGGGGTTAATTGAAACAATTAAAAGTACAAGGTGGTAATTTGAAGCATGACCAAAGTTTAAGGGGGTAAGTTGTATTTTAGCCTAAACAATTTAACTGTTGGTTGTCCAATCCGTTATATAACTGTTATGACCGTTAGAGACGTTATGACTGTTGGAAACGTTATTGACCATTAGAGAAGTAATTGTAGTTATTATGTCTTTCATATTTTCTGAGCCTATAAATAAGGCATGTATAAAACATCATGAAAGTACTACAATACAATAAAAATTCATCCCCCTATCTCTTTTATCTCTATATTCTTCTTCTAGTTCTTATTAATTTTACAACATATTATCAGCACGATAGTCTCTACCACATCAAACTAAAAGCTCCATTCATCTTTGTTTCATGGATCCTCTTACTTTAGAAATCCTAAATTTGCTTTTATCAAGGTTTTTGGTAGCACCCCATCAGAAAAGCACTTGTTCTAAACACATAATGTCTTCCATTAAGCTATGCAACCATTTCTAGTAATGGCAAAACGTTTGCAGGAAGTTGCAACTGGTTCTATGGCAAATAGGTTCATGACCCTTCATACCCTTTATATGATTGAGAAAGCTAAAGGTGTATGCAGATTGTATGTCCCAACCATCTCGAGCAGTTCTTATCTTTTGCAGGTAAGTAATTCTTCACAATAAACGCACATAAATCCATGATCCGTTCATATTATATTATGATGAATTTAAAATTATCATATTATGTGTTATATGTATGCTTGACCTTTATTGTTTTGGGAAATGATTTTTCTTTCACAATAGTCGTGTGATAAATCTTTCTCTATATATTTGATTCGGGATTTCGTAAGCATAATTAGTTTGATACTGATCATCCTATAATGAATTATTAGGTAAGCCCATACTTTGTTATGATTTTTCTTTGGTAGTCATGATAAACTATTTTATTTCTCCACTAAAAAGCTTAGATGGCAGTTTTCCTTTGAGCATTTTAATACTATTAATTATGGTCCTTGGTCTTGAAACCGTTCTGGTCTTGAAACTATTCTGAAGATGATAATTTTGTTTGTGTATATACACAAACAACTGAGCTGGACATCATCATCAAGATCCCTATCAGACATTTCATTTAACAGTTGGTGAGCAGCCGTGGTTTCCCCTTGACTATGCTACAAGCTTATTACAAGAAAGACCAAGTAACATAACATCAAAATAAATCTCCTAAATGAGAAACCAAAAATCAACAATGTGCTAAAAATGGCGTCGAAATGAACATCAACATGGAAGATGCCGGAATGATCATCGGCAAAGACAATTGTGCTGGAATGACCATCAGCAACATGGACGATGCTCCCCCTCAAGAGGAACTTTTAAACAGTGCCAGAATTATCATCGGCAAAGACAATTGTGCTGGAATGACCATCAGCAACATGGACAGTCCTCTCCCTCAAGAGGAACTTCTAAACAGTGCCGGAATTATCATCGGCAAATGACCATCAGCAACATGGACAGTGCTCCCCCTTAAGAGGAACTTCTAAACAGTGCCAGAATTATCATCGGCAAACATGTACCTGTGGGATTTGTCTATTTATTTAGGCGATGCACAGCGAGGCTGAAAGTCTTGCTGAGTTTGTGAATTTAATGTCAAACATGTGTGAAGTTAGGTTGGTGATATTTTGTATGAACTGTACGTGTAGGATTATTTACTTTTGAGTTGAACTTGGATACGACTATAGTAGTTTATCAGACAGCTAGGAATTGTCATTTTGTTAAGAGATATATATGAATGAATCTTATGGATATTTAAAAATATATATATATATATATATATGTGTGGGGGAGGAAATGAAGAGAAAGAAAGGGGGAAAAAATTTATTTTATTCGGCAGATATCCACCGTTGAATGAGATTGTAATTGAATGAGATTGTAATCTAACGATGTGAAAGGAGTAGGCAAAGGTAGGCAGAATAAGAGTAGGTAGAATAACCTATCCCGTATTAGAATATGTGTAATTAATTTTGCCCTTTATATTGCTATTAATTTTACGTTAAAAGGCAGCTACAAATAATTAGTTCGTCAATCAAATTTAATTTTTTGAAAAAATTAAATCCATTGTAACAATTTGTCATTTTAAATGCATTCATGAAGAGAGATATAATACATATTGCAACAATTTATGCTTGCTATTAAATGAAATGTTATAAGTTTAACAGTTTTATTTTGTGTATAATATATTTTATTTCCATATGTTCAATAATATTCTATAAATTGAATGCAAATAAAAAGTAATGATTATTAGGAATCAAATGCATTCTTCTCAATTTTTTTAATTAAAAATTAATGTCATAGTTTTTAATTTTATTACATTTTGATTATTGATAACTATTAGTTTACTTTTTATTTGAAATTGAACCGTTACAACTTACAATTGCATTATATATGATTAAATCTCATAACTGTTACAATAGTTTCGTATATGCCTATATGGTTAAATGCCATTCAATAATTTAATGTATGAATTATTGAGTTGATATGGTTATAA